GCCAATTCAACAGGGGCACCTGGGCGGAATCACATACGTGCTCGACTGGTCTAGCGATTCTCTGGAGATCGGGGAAATAGAAAACATGCATGCACCACATCAACTTATCAACTTGTTTCTTGTTTGTGAAGGCGCCTACAGTAAATAGCCAGTAGTTTCAGTTTCAATTTCAGTTTCGCCCAAGGAACAAAATGCCGATAATATCGGCGATATTTCGCCGATATTATCGGTATTTCAGGGTACCGATATTTTAATAGGTATCCAACGGGTTTTCGTCAAAATATCGCGATATTTCCGAAACTATCGCGATATTTTGGAACTGTGCTACTCGGAGAAGAACGCCGAAACTTCTACAGCTCCGGCCGATTACAAACGCAAACCTTAGACTCCGATCTAATTACCAACGTGAAGAGGAAAGAGAGAGGAGTAAGTTTATACCCTTGGTTCGCCGTGAAATAGCCGAAGGTGTTCGGAAAGCTCCTCAACAGTCACGGGTTCGCCGGAGTTGGGTGAGTTTTCCCCCGACCTGATCTCGTTCCATAACACACACCCAAGCTTACCTAACCGGAGAAGATGAAGAAAACTCGCCGGAGGTTTCTGGGTTTCGTCGATCTTGCAGAGACAAGAGGAAGAGAGAGAAAGACGAGGTTTTGATGGTGATGCCGTCTACGGAACGATGGTGTGGGTGCCGTGTACTAGGGTAATCACGGGAGAAAGAGTGAGAGTGATGAGAGGGTTTCGAGAGAGAAGAGAGTGTGCAGAGAAGGAAAGAAAGAGAAGAAGAAAGAAAGGGGGTCTCGGGTAGGATCTGGTTGATCTCGGTGACGATGGTGACGAAGCCGGATGAGGAAGAGGAGGAGGGGAGGCGACGGAGGGAGAAGGAGTAGGAGGAAACGAAGAGGGTTTTGCAGGGGCGGAGATTGCAAAGAGGGAGAGGAGGGCGATGAGGAGGAGGAGGGATCGTTGACTCGTTCTCTCTATCTTCTCTTCTTTCTCGTTTCAATTGGCAATTTAGGGATTTAAGCAAGTTTCAGGCCCCCAAATCATCTACTTATATTGCCCTAAAAAACTCCAAGTAATTACACCATCGTATTAGAATTGTAATTGATCCTTGTTAGATTTGGTTTAGAAATTCTAAGTAATTTAGTGATTGTTTCATATTAGGTTTAGATTTGAATTTTTTTACTCCATTCAGATTTTAAAGGATTATAATAGATTTAAAAATTTATGAATTTTGATGAAGTTTAATAATTTTTAAAACTTTTATGTAAAATTTTAAGTGAATTCCCTCAAATTTTCAGGGAGCGATTTGAGAATGTTTAAAATATTATGTGAAATATTTCTAATTTTTTCGAGTTTCCCAACTTTTTAAAAAATCTCTTCGAATCAATTTCTAAATGAATACATTTGGAATGTATGAATTTCTTAAAAATCATGATCGAATACCCCTTAAACTTTAAATAATCACTTAAAATCCTGATTAAATGCCCTTAGATTTTTAAGGAGAATTAAAATGTTTATAAGCCCCAATTGGATGTACCGCTTAATTTAACTAATTGACACAACACAACAAAACTAGTTAAGATTACAAATTAACACAAAAGACGACTTGATGCGAGGTCATATCTAAAAAACTTGCCGCAATAAGCCCCAATTGGTGTGTTTAAACTTCTTTAATTAATTACTACATATTTTCTACACTCACAATGTTTGTCAGCTCGCTATATAATCAACTTGATAATGTTAAATCCATCATGCAATGCATTTCCTTCCAATTTTTTGTGATAAACTAATAGATAATTGATTAAATAAACATCCTGCAAAGTTTCAATAAAAATTTCTAAGTTTTTCTTACAACTTCCGTGGTTTCCATGTAATTTTTATCAATATCGATATTATGCCGATATTTCCATCGATATTTTCGTGCTTTCAGATTACCGATATTTCCGATATTATCGATATTTAATACCTTGGTTTCAGCGCATGCTGATGCATTGCATTTTGCATATATGGCTGGCTGTCTGAGTCTCTGAGCTTCTCGTTTGCTGCACTGAACTGAATTGTTCTTTATTGCCTTTCTTTGAAGCAAAAGGACAGACCGCCAATCCACAAATATCTTTCCCTTCATTTAATGTTTGACAGTTCAATCTTTTCTCATATGGTACCAAGAAGTGTAAGTAGGTTTCTATCCTTTTCAAAGGACCAAGGATTTTATTTTCTCTAGTTTACATTTTCTGGTTGTTTGTTTCAGGAATTTAATCCATATATCTCAACAGACGCAGGCGCAATTATATTGGCATGTCACTATATACTCCAGCTCCTAAATTCGAATCACATTTCTCACTATTTAAATTGATTTTGTTGATGCACAACATCGGTTCAATGTGTATAGTAGTGAAGTGACCTTCACAATGATGCTTTGTCAAGGATAGACGTACGAAGTGACCTACAAGGAAGATAGAGTAAGTCTCGAAGGGCACCGTGTGCTACCAATCTTAGAGACTTTGATATTGTTTACGATGAAAAGATAAATGATAAACCCTTCCCATCCCAGATTTGGGAAGAAACAAGAAATATGGATGAGTTGTAATTAATGCAAGGCAACCGAACTCTTTTTCTCCCATCTCATTGTTTTGGCATGTATGTATGAATTAAGTAAACCAGACCTGGGACTCTGGGCTTTGTCCATTTGTATAATAAACCAGACCTGGGAATCTGGACTTTGTCCATTTGTATAATAAACCAGATCAGGGAATTTTTATTGGAGAAATTTTTAGTTGCGACTTGCGACAGAAAACACGGATAATATCACGTGTTTTAAGTAAGTGATGAAATTTTTTAATTTTTAAGTTATTAACTTTTTAACACACATATCTCATTATTTATATAGAAACACGTGATATACCACCTCATGTAACGATCACACTGAAGAATCTCTCGTCCATTTGTATAATAAACTAGACCTGGGAATCTAAAGCTTTGTCCATTTGTATAATAAACCAGACCTGGGAATCTGGACTTTGTCCTTTCGGAGAAATTCTTAGTTGTGACAGAAAACACAGATAGTACACCACGTGTTTTTATGTAAGTGATAAATTTTTTTTATTTTTAAGTTATTAACCTTTTAACACACATATCTCACTATTTATATAAAAACATACGATGTACCATCTCATGTGACGGTCACACTGAAAAATCCCTCATCCATTTGTATAATAAACCAGACCTGGGAATCTGGGCTTTGTCCATTTGTATATAAGCACTAGCTAATGTGCATCGTATTAGTCAGTAGTGGCAGCAGTAGTAGTCAGCCATGGCAAACGCCAACATTCTAGACGCAGAGCGCGAGAGCTTCCACAGGTTCTTTGAGTGCTGGCTTGATGAACAAAACCAGCACCTCCACGACCTCACTATCGCCGCAAGAAATAACACCACCGCCACCACTACCGCCGCTACTAATCCTGCAACAACCACTGCTGCTATTAATACTAGCAGTACAAGTTTAGGAAAACTGGTGGAACGTGTGGTGAAGCATTACGAGCATTACTACGAGGTCTAGTCGAGATGGGATAAGCAGGACGTCCTCGGAATGCTGTCGCCTTCTTGGCTGAGCTCCCTCGAGGACGCCTTCCTTTGGATTGGCGGCACAAAACTCATGCCCAAGATGCACAGAAATCTTCCACCCCACTACCCAATCCTCCCAAAGCAACTCGATCGCGACGTTGCTACAGGGCACGGAAGAATCGAAAAGATGTAGAAAACCCGTCGTTGCTGCAGGCCATGGCGACCCATTCTGTTGACCTAACTGGCCATGGTGGAGCTCAATCAGAGAATCCTCACCTTCCTATTCGGAACTCTCTAATTCACGTCAATCTGACTCCTCGTGTGGTTTGATTCCTCGATGTTTCTTTACAATAATGGATCTGCGAGTACTTATTTCTGGGGTGGGGTGGGGGGGGGGTTACGGGGGAGGTGGGGGTGGGGGTGGGATGGTTGCGGTGGGTTTTTGGATGGGAGGGGAGGTGAAGAGAGTGGAGGAGAGGGTGGTGGGTCGCCGGTGGGATGGGTTTGTGGGTTTGGTTGTTTGTTTTTTTTTTTTTTAATAAGGTAAATTATTATAATATTTTAAATATATAAAATATTTTTTTTGCCACGTGGTATAAATTTGGCAGCCACAATTAACAGTTTACTTAATGAATTTTCTAACGGATGTATAACATTGAAATAAAATGATAAGTAAAATGTATGAAATTGAAATCGATCCCAAACCTGAGAATGTTAAACGTAACTTACCCAAACTTTTATAATTTGGCAGAAAGACAAAGTTTTTCCAAAATTCCAACGACTCATCTCATTTCTTCCCTAAAAATACAAGTCCATTTTAATCCAACAATTATCAATGCATCTCCAAACTGGAAAAAAACAGGTGAACAGAAAACGTGCCTAAAATGTAACAGCAGCGTCACAGGTGCTAGCAAATCTCAGATTTATTAATTGAGCAACCAAAACTGACAGCAAAACGAAATCGTTAGGGTTTCATCCAAATTAGCAAAAATCCAACATAAAAACTAAATACAATCATTATAAAACACACCTTAGCTAAATAAGATCAGTTCAGTCCGTTGTAATAATTCACGTTGCGCTTGCAAGCAGCCGTACTACGAGCGCAACGCAAGTAGTCAGTTCAGTTCGTTGTTCTAATTCAACTTGTTTCTTGTTTGTGAAAGCGCGCACAGGAAATGGGGGGTAGTTTCAGTTTCAGCGCATCTGGTGCATTGCATTTTGCATATATGGCTGGCTATCTGAGTCTCTGAGCGTGTCTTTTGCCGCACTGAATTGAATTATGCTTTATTGGCTTTCTTTGAAGCAAAAGGACAAGACCGCCTTTGCCAATCCTAAAATATCTTCACCTTCGATCTTTTCTCATATGATAAGAATAGATATAACCTGGGAATCTGGGTTTTGTCCGTGTGTGTGTGTGTGTGTGTGTGTATAAAAGCACTAGCTAGTGTGTATCGTATTAGTTAGTAGTAGTCGTCGTCGTCGTCGACAACCATGGCAAACACCAACATTTTAGAAGTTGAGCGAGAGAGCTTCCACAGGTTCTTTGAGTGCTGGCTTGCTGAACAAAACCAGCACCTCCACGACCTCATTACTGCCGCCAAAAATAACACCACCTCCGCCGCTACTAATCCTACAACCACTGCTGTTATTAATACTAGCAGTAGAAGTTTAGGAACACTGGTGGAGCGCGTGGTGAAGCACTACGAGCATTACTACGAGGTAAAGTCGAGATGGGTTAAGCAAGACGTCCTTGGGATGCTGTCGCCTTCTTGGCTGAGCTCCCTCGAGGACGCCTTCCTTTGGATTGGCGGCTGGAGACCAAGCATGGCTTTTCATCTCTTCCACTCAAAGTCGGGATTGCAACTCGAGGTTCGAGTCGCGGAGTTTATCCGAGGCTTTTGTAGTAGTGGTAGTAAGGGTGACTTGGCGGATTTGTCGTCACATCAGCTCACGCAAGTGGACCAGATGCAGCAGAGGACTGTTAAGGAAGAGAGGGACATCAGCGAGAAGATGGCCAAACGGCAGGAGGCCGTCGCTGACTCCTCCTTGGTCGGCTTGTCCCACGTCATTACGGAGTTGATGGATGCCGGTAACGGTGTTGATGATCCGGTTGCGGAGGAGGACCCCCGAGTGGAATACGCTCTGGCATCCAAGGAGGAAGGTTTGGAGGAGGTTCTGCATAGGGCTGATAATCTACGGCTGATGACGCTGAAAGCTATCACTCACATTCTGACTCCAATCCAGGCAGTCCATTTCTTGATTGCTGCTGCTGAGTTGCACTTGAGGCTTCATGACTGGGGAAAAAAGAAAGACGCCACCACCCGTGCCCAATCTTCTCAACCATGATCATTTCATCTCATGCATCGATCCCGTCGGTCTAAATTAATAACGAGTTTTTAGGCGAGGCCTAAGTACGTAAGTATCGTGTCGGGCGTAATAGTGTACTAGCTTATGAATTTGGAGTGAGACTACTGTACGCTCGAGGTCTTCCCCACTCGGTTTACTCTGGGCAAGGTTTTAATGACAACTAATGACGCCACTTTAAGCAAGTGTACCTTGTTATAAAGCTTGCTTTTTTTTTTTTTTTTTTTTTGGTCAAACAAGATTACTTACATTAAAAACTAGTACGATGTCCAAAAATACTGTACAGTAAAAGGCAGAAGCAAAAAAAGAGCTGCAACCCAAGATACAACCAAAGGGCCACACATACTTAGGTCTAAAGACTGCAAAAACAAACAACAACAAAAACCATAATCTCAAGCAACATAAACCAAACTGCCGCCGCCGTCGCATCCTCAGAGGAAGCCAAACTCTGAACCGAGAAAGTAGACACATGATCTAAGCTCCCTCACGAACCCCTGCAAATATATACAAACAAAGCATCTTATAGATAAAAAGTGAGGCTAAGTGGTATGCAAAATACTCTTAATGTGGCGGAGGCCATAGGACACTTGGCCTTGATGGGGATTCAGCATATGCCAGTTAGGGAGGGGAGGTGAGGTATGTGGATCTAAAATTCAATTTCTAATCGGAACCCACAAATCCGAGCACGCGATGAGGTGGGCATGGAATATCACGACCAAGGAGGAGGGAGGAAGGAAAGTTAAATGACAAAAAGCAGGCGAAAAATGCCGAATAAAGAGCATGAATCCCAAAACTGAGACAAGCTTAGGGAGGTAATTGAGACCAAAGAGGGGGTGGGAGGTAATTGAGACCAAAGAGGGGGTGGGACGCTGTGAGGGGGAAGGGGCAGAGGAGATGATAGGGGAGGAAAAGTGAGAATGGGTAAAGAAGGGAGGGAGTAGCAGGCTGCTGCCTACCCCTAGCAAGAGCAAGAGGTGGTGGTTGAAACTTCGATAAATGTTGGATTTCTGCGGCAACACACAGAGAGGGAGCCATTGTTATAAATCAATAGTAGTTTTTGTTGAATATAAAACCTACATCGGGGAGCTAAGAAAATAAAATACAATATATAGATGTTTCATTTTATCAACACCGAGACCTTTTGTGTAAAACACAACACCTAGCAATAGACAGTAAGTTAAAACAATATTGGAGTGGTTAAGAGTGAGATAGTGGACCGTAACTATGAATATCAAACAATTTCCGGGCACATTCATGACCTGAAATCATTTGGAAGTCCAACCAACACGATAAAGGCACCATTCCACAGACAGCAGCACAATTTCAAATAATCGAAACGCCTTATAGCTTTTTCCTTTGAACCCAAAAGGCCGGCAGCACAGGATCAGCTCCAAAATCTCTCTGTTACTTACAAATCGTTAGGATATTTTTGACATTTTGATCCTTTCTAAAAACTCTGTCACGTACTGATCACTCAAAATTTAACCACCCATCCAGCACCAGCAAAATTTTGAGGATTTCCAAAACAATGATCACTCAAAAGCTTCTCTGTGAAGCTCGTAGCAGCCTGCGTCGGGGATTGAGAAATCGGAACCTTAGACAACAGACTGGGTTCGGTAGTGTAAAGGCTTTCCAGATCCACCAGGGCCCCTCTGCATGCTGGCTCTGCCATCCAAAGTACAGCACATAAGAAGGAACAATCCGGATTCTCCACCTAAACTAGATCAGATCAAAGTAGGAATTGGGGAGACAGTTACCAAATCAGGGCGCTGCAAAGAGTGTAAAAAGGTCAAGAAACGAGAAACTGAGCTTTCTCAAATCGTCGCCTTACCTGTGCACTCTTTAAATACAAAGAAATGCCTTTGTATTACACCAACAAGCCAGTTAAAGTTCATTCCCGATAGATACAAAAAGGATAGGAAATAGCACACCTCTAAGAATCAGTGAAAGGTGACCCCCGGAAAGCTCTACCAAAGCAACGAAGTTGGCCTCACCATGTATCAAATAGTATCACTAAACAGAAATAATAATAATCCGGTCTTTCTTTTCTAATAAACCATGTCTATATAGCTGCTAGGACATAAAACCTAATTTCCAGACCCAAAAAAAAAAAAAAAGACGAAAAAAAAGACATAACCTAACCTTAACGACCTTTTGCAGGACCTTGAGAAAGAGAAAAATATTTCTACAAGTTCAGCATAATTGAGTTTAGAGCTCTAACTTGATTTCTGGTCCTTGAGCATCTATGTATTCTAGAACCTTCTTTGGGATGTTGTTTGTAATCAGAGTCCCACCATTATAGCCATCGATCAGCAACTTCCCTATTTTTGATCTCCACTCCGAGCTATCAGTTTCATTTCTTCTGTCGTGAACAACTCTGCCACGGTACTTGAGCATGGTTCCCAAACCAGTATTGGGTTCCCAACCATATTCCATTAGCACCTGGGCATCGCCTTCGGTCAAGTCATCTCCAACCTTAACCGGTCAATCCAGGAAAAAGATACGGTTAGAACCAAATCAGATATATTACCCTCTAGAATGATAATACAAAATGCCAAAACCGTCTATGCATCCAGATAAGCCATGCTTAAAGCTGAATCCAACTGATTACAAATTGCCCACAAAGAATGGCAACAAAAGACAAAATACAAACTTGGCCAAAAAGCGAGTGTGTGTGTGTATAACACATCACTACAATACAGAGGCCTTCCAATTTGGATATCTCAACAATAGCACGTTATTCTTAAGCATAAAAATCTATAAATATATAAAATGGGAACTGTTCTTGGCACTCCAAAAAAGTCCTCTTGCACTCCTTTATGAAAGCACACGGGAGAAAATAAACACAGAGTGCAAGATAACATTTTTGGAGTGCCAATAACAGCTCCCTCAAATATTTCTCAGATAAAAAGAAACTATTAAAGTAAAATAAAAGTTCTGAGTCGCAACACAGCCCGACCATTAGACATTTGGACTCAAATTCCAATTCTAAGACCACAAACACTAATTTGAGAGGAAGATGCAGATAAAACAATGAATCAACGTAACTTTATTAACATGGTTCCACCCCAAACTGGGTTATGTTCCTGGGGAGGAATCACTATCCACCAATAAAGAAACAAGCTCACAATGATTAGGAAATAGCCTCTTCCAACCCCATAAAACTCGCAAACACTCAAACTCACTCAGATTTCCCTCTCAAAAGTTGTACCCTAGAGTGAGAAAACTATCAAAATCTGAATGATGATCACATAAGGAGGCTAAAAAACTTGAAGAACCCTATTTAAGGCTCATAATAACCCTTTGACCAATTTGTCAACGTCTTAGATTCCTACTCCAACCAGGAGATTGGTGCAAAAGGGACACAGCAAATGTGTCAAACAACAGCAGTCTGAAAACCAACAACACACTCAAGCCTGCACTACAGTATCTCAAAAAACTACTCTGAACGCTTGAGTGTAAACACTGCTGTAACATGATTTCCCTCTGGACACCCCAGCATTATCCCCGATGTTCGAGCAGCAATTCCAAATCCTACATTTCCACAGCTAGTTTTGAGCTGTTATTCCAACACAAACCACAGGCTGGATGTAGGTTTCCAGCACAGCAGGAATAATGATTATGGTTTGAACCACTCCCTACCCAGAAAACCCAAACCGAGTTGGCATTCTCCGACAAATAATCCATCTCCTCATCCGTCGCATCACAGCTATGCCTAACAAAGATTGGCCCCCTGACAGGGCAAGAACAATTGGTTCACGCTCTCCAATCCATATGTGCGCATCACGCGCCATTAAGAAGAAAATAAAGAGAGGGCTTTCCCCTCTGAACCAAATCGCATGCTAACCCTCCCATGAGCAAAATCTAAGGTAATTATTGAAAATTGAAGATACTTCCTTTCACCAAATTGCATATTCAAGGATGAAAGGATAACGGAATAACCTACAGAACCGTTTTGACTTGGAATCCCTAACCCTCTGAAACCAGAGGTAGTTATTATGATCATGATAGATAAAAATTGTGACCTACAAATTTAGGAGGTAAACTGAAGTGATCTACAAATCTACGGGGCAGTTTGGCAGTCTACTCGTAAATTAATGATAGATCAAAGTTGTGAGTTCATTAAACAACTGTCTTCATTGTTTGACACATTTATACCAGCAATCATCTCATAAATGTTTTAAAATCATTACCGATAATGCTTTGTCCTCAATTAGTGAAATCCTGCTACAGCTGGTAAGCTTCATTGCAGTCACCAGGCGCTTGATTTGCCATTCAATTGGTAAAGAATCTAATAGCTCAAAGAAGTATGTCGCATATCCATATTCGGGTCGTTCCAGCACAATTCTGCAGTCAAGTGATAATCAAATGTCAAATCCTCCAGTTCAAGTTGAGAGGATAAACCAACCTTAAGAAAAATATGCAACTCATGCACACCTATTATGTTTAGCAAAGACAAATATAAATGACTGAAGGTCTCGGCACCAACCCCATTCAACCGGCCAATTTCTGAACTGCAGATAACGGCTCTGTATAATAAAATGAAATGGGATTTATTGTAAACAAAAAGATAAAAGTCTTGCAGGCAGATATAGGGAAACGTTAACTGAAATAATTAGCCTGTTATCATGCTGACGAACTAATCATAAGAAACCTATTACCTGCTCCACAAGTGAAATTAGACAAGCCAAGCAATAAGTAACTCTTGAGCCCTTGGTGCATCGTATCGGAGCAAACTTAAAAAACGGCTGACGCTGTGAGAAAAGCTGTCCAAAATGAAGATGCTAACATTAGAAAGACATTAATGCGATGGTGTACCACATTTAACTGTGCAAGGCAATTCAAATACAGATGGTTAACTACCAAAAGATGGCCGATAATATGTTATCCAAAACATAAACTCATACAGAATATTCACTATCTATAATTTTAAGAAGCAACGAACATATTATTACTCAATAAGATTTCATAGCAGTGGACCACAAATGCACTAAAAAAGCAAACAACAAACAGGAAGCAAATATAAAACAATTTCCACTACCCACATGAACCCTACTCCCAATTATTTGGCATACTGCAGCTTCCTAATCTTACAAAAATTGAGGGGAGCTATCCTTTAACTCTGTTGACATGGAGGCCAATAATGAAGACCAAAATCTGAGCCTATCTTCAGAAATTTTCCTATTCCTGTGCACCCAAACA